GCAAAAACAATTTTAACGACAACGATAGAAAAGATAATTACAATTTCGTCAATGCCATAATACAGGCACGTATGTAAAGCTTGCTAAGGAAAAACAATGTGTGCCAAAGACAATCTTTCAGTCGCCTTATAGAAAATTGTATCGACCTATTCAGTGACTATCACTTTCGTTGATGTGGTAATGGCTATTAGTTTCAATTATTTGTTTTTCATCTTAGCATAGAAAAAAGTAGAAGTAATTTATGTTTCATGTTATCGTTGTAGCGAACTTGCTAAAAATGTAAATTTTCTGTACGTTCAGCTCCTCATCGTTTTTTTTTTTTTCGAAAAAAATATTTGCTAATTTTGCCCATGCCTATACAGAGCGTCTGCCATTTCAACTCAACAAGTCGTACAGCACTCCACTCCTTAACATTTCCACATGAACCCATCAAACGAGTGGTAAGAGCATAGCAGATTTTCCCCTTTGCCTCTCATACTTCTAACGGCCTACGCACAACAAAAAGTAGGAACGTGAATGGGGTGAAGCTGTGCCTAGGCGCTAATCATATAAGTTCCAATCATATACGTAATCCAACATATCCCTTCAACTGCACAACCTTTCTTAATCTTAGTCTAAAGTGTAAACTAAGCTTAAAATAGTATTATGAAACTACTATATTATGTTAATCTGGTAAAACTAGAAAAAAAATGTTATATTCACCTGAAGTACATGATAAACTAACAGAGCCTGATTTTGTGTTTATTTGTAAATAATAAGTACTCCTATACTGATTCTGGTGTCGCAAACATCAGTTTTACGTAACTTTTTTTGTTACATACTCTAATCGAGAATAAATTTAGAATTGTAGAACCAACAGCCATACGAGATTGCATTGATTTTTGCAAATAAAAACCGCTACTGTTCTATATTATTATTTTAATTAGTAGTAAGTGATTTTTTGTTATTGCAGGATGTAAATTGTCGTCGCGATGATCCGGTTTCCGATCCGAAGCCTATTGGAGTAATAGTTTATATACTATTAGATGCATATTCGTGTCAAGGCTTAGTGGACGCAGCGCAAGCCCGCCAAAATATAATATTCACTACGATGTCAATCTACCAACCCAGTCTGACTATCGACATTACATTAAGAACGAAAATGTTATACTGATTCGAAATATATCATATATAGCATCAGAATCCTCGCCTTAAAGTGATCATGTGTTTTTCGCTGTTATCGAAACGTTACTGTAACCTATTGGAAATAGAAAAACAAAAGCAACTGCCAACATTTGTTGCTACGTAGATAAAATCGAGATAAAATGGGAAAGGCTTGAAAAACTTTACTGGACAAACAGAAATATGCGTGTAGTCATTGTATTACACGAGTCGTTGCACAAATCACTATCTGATTCTATGCGTTTCGAAATTCGCGGGCTAAATTCCCAATTAAAGTTTGTTATAGGGCCTCTCGATTTGTGTCAGTTCGAACGTTCCTTCCATATATATGAGGCAGAAAACGTTTTTTTGCGAATATACAATGAAACTTATAAATATACATTTGCAGACAGCAGTAGTTTATAGCATATATTGCTGTCTATTTTTAAATGTAATCTACATGTTGCTTAATCGACGCTATATCTGGAGAAAATATTGCCAATACATTGACTCTGCGCTCACTCAAAAGTACACAATTTGGAATGCAGCACACTTCTGTTGGGCTGAACATGGAATCCGCTTTCCGTATTTCGAACTATTCTAAATTATGTATTTCTAGAGATAATAGTTTCGGCCCAGTTCTTTGATTCTAGTGAGAACCAATAGCCTATTTAACAGCGTAGACGTTACCTACTTCAAAGAAAAAAAACATTACTTGATAATAGCATTTGTGTGCATCCTATAAAATTTAAAAGGAAACATTATGTTTCCAGATTTCCAGCGTTAAATCTACCTGCGAGATAAACATTGTTTGAAAATGAAACGTGCATGTATCATTAGCATCTTACCATTTCTATTTAATACAATAAAAAACTTTCAAAATAATCGGTAACATCAACGCCCGTATATGTGCGTTGAGAACAGCCTTCAGGGATTTCTTAATTCCTATTGTAGCTTTGCTTCCCAGAATCATATGCGGTATATTAGAGATAGTAACTTCCTGATCGTGCAACTATCACAAGTAGTAAAAAAGCAATTTAATACGACAATTAAATGAGTTAACAGTATTGTGCTTACTCCGACCCAGTCAAAGGCTAAAAGCTTCGACCCAGCTAAAAGGCTCGACGATATATTTCGTGAACCGGCAGGGGCATTCTCCGTGAATATTTGAGACCCAGCAAATAAATCACGAACAGTTTTTCTACAACCGAAAATAGTGGTAGCTGTTCTGTTTGCGAGCTGACTCAGCATTCTACTAAGCAAGGCGTTGTCATAAACTAATCAGATTGCGTGCTCTTCATTGCCATGCTAACAGTGCTACAGTTAGTAGAAGCTTGATATAGCGGACCGCAGTGATTTTTTTTATTTTAAACGAGTCTCTCATGGTAGCAGATGCTCCTGATAGTCATTTCAACTATTATCATCATATTACGTTCAAACATAGTCATGGAACTCAAGTTGTTTTCAAAATGACGCCATTCTCTGGTTAGATCCCTGTTTGACCGGCAGGAGAGTAAACCATGCCTCACCTTTGGTGACCGCATGGTCTAGGCTGGTTTCTTATTCATTAAACCTCCACAGATTGCCAGTGGAATACATCACACGAATTTCCAACCGGCTTAGAATCAGTTTACGAGGGTCTATTCTTTAGCTCTGCTTTCAGATACCCAGTTTTTGGGTCATAATCCTTTAACATGTTATATGTGAAATACCAGTGTTGACCAACAAGGCCCTCAGATTCTATGCTTTGCCCTCGTAAAAAGTTTCCTCGATTGTGGCAATGCATTCTTGCCTTTCGGGTTCCGGCACCTGGCCATTTCCTTATTCATCTTAAATATTCCGGTCACAGTTCTCGAAACATTTGCGCCGTCTTCATACTGTGCTCTTGCTTAAGGCCTCTTTGTTTAATGTCCTCAACTGTTGTCGGTAATCTTCCACAACGGTGTGATCTTCGAAGAACAAAAACCTGACAATCGAGTGTTTATTTTTAAAATTAAAAGACATCTTTTACTTTGAATTTATTTCTCCTATGGCAAATTCAATTGGTTTTCGCTTGCAGGTTTTTAGAAGACAGAAACATTTATCAGCCAATTTTGGTCTATTAACTTAGCTACACAGTAAAAATCACTCAGTTTCAAGGTCCATCATCTTTGCTTGTAACAGCCTAGAATCCACAGAATGGGCATCCTAGCAAATTTTGATGGACCGTTTATCATGCAGGTATGCATTCACCCGCTATCCCCACTACCAAATGAAAGCCAGTTGTTTCTAGAACAAAATAACGAGCTCATTATTGAGTAAAATAGCACGTCGTTTCTTACTTCAAGCGAAAATAAGCTAAAAAAAAAATATACAATAGAAGAAATATATATATTTAATATTTTCGCGCTGGGCGAATCCTCACTATGGTTAGTAACTTCTTTTGCCATTTGCTATCAGTTTCTGGTAGTTTTCATAAAGCTTCTCAAAAATCCCAAGAAGATTTCTATGACGCAGACTTTGAACAGGGGTTAAATTTGAGGCTTTTAATGGTTCATCAAACTAACTTGATACGCCTAGATTTTTCGTACAGAAATTTTTAGACCTACCATTTAACAAACACGAATATCAATTGCGAATCGGATCGTTCGCGTGAGCTCAAACGGCTGGCCATTTTGATTCTATACTGTTTTCAACCCTTGATTTTTTTAGATTTTCAGCCTTTTACTAGCCAATTCGGTTAGTATTATTATTACCACAATTGTTACTAACGAAATTCAATTCCGTTCGAAGTGTTTATATGTGGTGTGTATTTTTTTCAAGATTAACTAGTTAATACTTTATGTTCGCCACTGAAGCTTGATCGTGTTGAGTATATAAAATTGAATTATAAAATTGACTAGATACTGTTTTAGAAACAATTCATGAAAAAGACAGGTATCAGATGTTTCGCTATATATGAGTTAACAGAGCTTGAATCTATTGAACTATTTGTGCTATCTAATATAATACGATGTATGCAACCCATAGATGGTGAGAACCAATAAGATCAATTGATTTATTGAATAATAAATCTATTCTCTGGCGGGAAAATATAAATTCATAGTTTTAAATTTACGTGCTAAGAATACATTTGTGTTTGATATTGCAGAGTACAAAATTGGCAGGATGGGCACATCAGTATTTGCTCATGCGCTATAACTTGTGCGCCGAGGTTCAACAAAACAGCGTCGGCCGAAAGGACGTCCCATGAAAGTACGGTTAGCAAACTGAAGCGAAAAAGCCAAATCAGTAGTGGCAAGGAGTAAACGGGTTGAGGGAATATAAGATATGCGTAAATTAGGCAGAGTCGCAAGTAAATAGTTGGGTGCATGATGGGGCATTGGCGTCTGGTGTTGATTATCGGGCAGATTTGGTTTCGTCTAGGCCGGCGAAGGTGGCTAGTTCACAGTCTGTCAGTTCTCCATGTCGTTTCTTATAGGCATCTCTGGAGTATGTGTGCATTCAGCTCGAGCATCACATGTGTGTAGGTTATTAAATAACGGAAATGGCATGTAGAATCTAACGTCACGTGTTAACGTAACGGGTGCTGGTCCCTGCTCTTAGCACATTATGATAAAGATGGATGAACGGAACTAGTTGAATAGATTAAAGAAAAAATACGAGAAAGATAAAACATGTTTAGCAAGCACGGTAGCTTTTCCCTCGCACCGCTTGTTACTGCATACAAATTTTTGTCTTTGAGCAACGCAATGAACGCTTCTCAAATAATAGAACTTTTTTGCCCACTTCTTTGACTGTACTCATGTGTTAATCGAAATATGTCTGATGCTGTAGATAGTTCATAGACACTTTAGTCAATAAATTCGTTTTTATTTTAATTGATCGCACGTACCTGCGTGTCAGTGCTCAAGCGAATGTTTATTACCCAACATAAAAATATTCAAATGCTTCTTGACGAGAAAACGTGGGGTGCAGTCGGGCTTACACTTTCAGATTCATTAGTATTCTTTCTACCAGCCAGCTTCAAACGTAGTCTAAATCCTGAAACTCAACCGATACGCACATAGCTCCATTGCACAGTAGATTTTCTTCAGGGGAGATGAGTTTCTCCAGGCTGCAGAACTTCTTGAAGCCCCACCCTTTGTTGTTATTCGGCCGGCAAGCAAAGATAAAACCTTTCCAAGTTGTTTTGCCTTCAGCAAATGTAGCCGCTTCCTTTTTATGAACGGACTCCCCATTCGTGTTATACAATTCAAAGCTGATATTCCTCTTTATTGGCCAAGAACTAAACGAGGGGTGATCGCCAAGCATCCGTATGTAAACTCCCAAAAAGCACTCGCCGCTAAAAGCGGCAATTTTACAAAATACCTCTATTGGGTACTCGGCGCTGGTCCACGCGACGCTTGATGTCTCCTGGGTGATCTTTGTCTGCATGAACTCGTCTATCCTCTTCTGCAGTTCGAAGCAAAAATATGCTTTGCGTCTGTTTAACACTGTTGGTGGATTGGACGATCTCATTTGCTGCAGGGGACGTATATTGTTATAGAGTACGTCAGAAACCAATGGAGTTTGCTCCATTTCGTCGTATAGCGAATGTTCAACGTCGCCTTTAGCGAGATGCGCCTTGATCTCGGTAAGGCTACCTTCCTGGCCACAGCTGCAAGCGAACTTCATACTCTTAAGGAAGGACTCGCCTATTTCGTTGCGTTCTCCAATAGTGTGTTGCTTACAGACAGCACAGAAAAGTTGCAGGCCTTCTGGGCTTTCCTGAGTTCGACAACAACTTAAGCAATAGATGTGGCCGCATAATACAACGATTCTTCGGGGAGTAAATTCCCCACATGCATCACAGGGCGTGACGAACCTGGCAGCTCGGTCCAGCGGAGTCAGCGGAATTCGGCCGGGATTTAATTCCTGCGGTAACTCTCGAAAAAACATCTGCAAACAAGCACTACAGGTGAGCAGACGCGAAACTTGCTCACTTAATACCTGCAGTAGCCTGATGCGTTTGCAGCGACCTATTGACGCCATTTTAGGCTGGCTAATTCCTGAATGATTCTAAGGCATGCATGCAATTGATATCTGTACGTTGCATCTTTAACATTTTCTATTAGTTGTCGTCTATACACCCTGTAGACAAATTATCTGTCACCACAGTTTCGTAGGTTCCTGGTCGAACGACCATATATATATATATATATATATATGGAGAGCGATCGTGGTACTCATATATATTCTATCGGGTCTATAACTTACAAAGCAGGTGCTCAACCTACAATGAAATATATCTATACAGTTAACAAGGTATCTCCGTGCAAACGGGAAATTTCGACATTTCAGTTTCGGGAGTCGTGCATTTTTTGTTCCTTTTCGTGCCCTACACAAGTGGTTGAATTATTTCTTCGAGTTCATCTTCTTAGCGCTCCAAAACGTCTCTAAAGGGTACAATGAGCTCACAAAAAACATTCAAGTTCACAATTCGTGTACACGCGTACCCTACACAATTTTACGAAGCTTTAATTAATTCACCACCAGCCGGAACGGTGACTAAAACGCTATCAGATCAAAAAAGTATATTCTCTCACAGTGCACGGAAACACTTTGCATATCATATGGGCACAAACATCCGTACACTGTTGTTTCCGATTAGCAAAAAACTTTTGAATGAGAAGTAATTACGTTGTTTCCGATAAGTTATACGGTTCCGAAACCCACTCGCAAGTAACCAGAGACGCCAATAAGGGAATCAAGCGCCAGCCAACTCTACAGTGTCAAAGATATTGTCTGCAATCCAATATTTGCAAAGTTAGGTTTGTTCGCCTTAGTCGATTGGTTCGACCAAAGTTTTCTTTAATGAACTACTTTTTAATGAATGCATCCATAGCAGATTAGGGAGCCGGACTCCCTGTTCAGTTCAAATAAACTATCCGAAGCGTATCATATATATATACTGATAAAGAAACATTCCGTTTGTGTGAAAACATTTTAAATGTCGACCTAAATAACATTCATAATCCCCGTGTAGTCCATACTGATGAGTATCCGAACTTTTAAATAAACTGAACCGAAATTTCAGATGCCCTTTCCGAACGCCTATAATTACCCCGCCAACACTGTAATCTTCACTCAGCTTAGTTTATCAAGAAGTTTCATTGTTCCTCAACACTCACCATAAAGGCCATACTAATTCTCAACCGTAGGATCCGTCCGTGCGTTCAAATTTACAATAATACAGTGAAATATTAGCAATGAACTGTCTACTTAGGGATGAACGCAGTTGAAATTCGATAAATCTTCCTGTAGTATAGATTAGCGAAGTGCGTACGACCTGACAAAGCGTCCATTGTGACCCTTCGTTACGAAGAGAGAACAACACACTATTATCAACTATATGGCAGAACTCTTTCATCAGCTATTATTTTAAATAACGACGCTAAACCGCGAGTTGTTTTGCGAGATCTAGCCAAAATCGATTTTCCTTGTGCCATTTAAAAGTCGTTTAGAAAAATATGGAGCAGTCCCACTTTATCGCAGCTTCGAAAGTTTCTCTACGGTCACGGTACTAATTATTGTAATAAATATTCAATATTTCGATGTATAGGCACAGAAATGGATGAGGCTTGCGAGATATTACGGGCAGAAGGCAATGGAATTGCGAAAAACTGACCACTTTGTCTGCGAAAACACTCAATGAAGACAGACTCAGAAAGGCTTCAGAAGTCACTTCGAAGTTATGCTTGACAAGAATCTAAAGTCACGAACTCACGTTGATAATACCAGGCAAAGTTCGCTACTTAATAGTGTAGCTTGATCTATAGACAGAACCCAACCATCTATCTCAGTTTGTATGCATCACCGGTTGTTACCGTGTTGAGAATAGTGATCACGTGTAACGGGTGCCGATCCTACTAAATATATATTCCACTTCTTCGGTAAGATAGTGATATTATATTTAACTTTATCACATGTGCTGTCGCATACTATGTGTCGATAACAGAATTTTAGCCAGCGACCCTTTGCTGAAATGATATTCAGGTCTCTAAGCCTATAATCGCACAGAGATTAAGTTTCCGGTGGTTTTGTTCATGTCATCACTACCAAGGATCGATTTTACCCATCGAAACATAGCAACAGTTAAAAATTATTAATAATAAACTCCTTTGGTATGGTATCCGTGGATGTCTTTTACCGTTTTCCGAATTGGCGTAAAATAGCAGCTACTTGATACCTAGAGAAGGTAAGTTTCTTTGCAATAAGAAGTTGAGTACGAAGTTGAAGTTTGCTGCTGAGTTAGTGCGACACGTGTAAAGAACGCCGCCATTACAGAGCCGAGCGCGCACTTTGTGGTTCTCATGGCAGCGTGGTGAGAACAGATACGTAAGCTAGGACGTTCCCCTAACTCAGGGTCGACCAAGAAAGAATAGGCGAAATTTTTGGGCTTCGATACACTCGAATCGTATTAACTGTATTGATGCATTCGAATATATTAGCTAATACAAATGACGCGTTAAAGTACATAGACATTTGAGTTTATTATTCATAATGTTAAATCATCCGATGAGACATCGTATGCTCCAAAATCTAAACAAAAATCCTCACTTACGTGTACCTTTCATGTATCAACCAGCCAACTGACGGGTAACAGCCGGCATGTACAAAAAAATATTTTTGGAACAATAAGCGTAGCAAAACTATATGATAACTCGAACATGCCTCTATAACGTATTGGGCTTCAATGGCCTACCCACTCAGTTCAACGGGCGCTGACGGCATTCCGTTCAGTCCTATCTATAGATCTTCCAGTTTGACGGATAGGCACACCTTTCCATTAACGACGATTCTAGGGTCATAAGTCAAGAGGTCATCGATGGCGTAGAATTTTTCAAATCCGTGTCCACCCAGCTCCTGGGGATGATATGGACGAATAAATCCATCCCATGTCGGCTCATTATTGGCAAATGTCACCGCCATCTTTTTATGCACCGGTTCTCCTTTGATATTGTACAGTTCAATAATAATTTTTTTCTTCATTGGCCAGCCGCTGAATGATGGCGGGTCGTTAATTGGTTTGAAAAAAACACTCAAATAGCGTTTGTCAGCGACAACGGTGATCTTGCAATAAACCTGAGCGGGGTATTCACCAGTTGCCCACGTCAATGTTGAGTGTTCCTGAGTAAACCTCTTATATACAAAGTCATCCATGAGCTTGTGCAATTCAAAACAGAAATATGCTTTCGTTTTTGCTAATCCGATTCGGGCGGATATCATCCAAAGCGGTTTTAACTCTGCTTGAATTATCTTGATCAAATTTTCCTTTCTTGCCGCTGCTAGGGTACTATCTGGCACAACTGATTTTGCAGGAATTAATGCCATTTGGGACGCATGATCTTGGAAAGTTTGGTTAGTCGTAACTGCTAGGTTTGGAGTAGAGGATGACGGCGCCGACGATGGGTCTTTAATAAAATGATCGGTTTCGCAAGTCCAAAGATGTTCCCTGATTTGCGCTAAGTTACCCTCGTGCCCGCATCCGCAGATAAATGCCATGTCTCTAAGGAAACTTTCTGTCAACTCCACGCGTTCGCAAGCCGAATTCTTTTTGCATTCAGAACATCGAAGTTCCAGACCCGCTGGACTATTTCTCACGATACAACAGCTCCAGCAGAACACGTGTCCGCAAGACCCGAGCACCCGTCGAAGACTGAATTCGCCGCATGCGTCGCATGTCGTGATGATGCCGTCCACGCCCCCCACTGGTGACAATGAAATTCGACCAGGATTTAGATTATCAGGAAGATCCCGGAAAAACATCTGCAACAGAACAATCAGAGTAAGTGCATTGAACTACGAGAATAAGGAAACAGCGAGCTCTTCGATTGTGATAGTTGGTCAGAATACCTACGTTTACCTCGAAGTAATGAAAATGATAGAAAATATGGGATGACGCAAAAGGTTTGTAGGTAAAATAGATGAGCGACCTTATTACGAGTACGGGGTATTGGTCATATATACCATTTGCCCGGAATGCATAGTTTGCTTAGAAAACTTTTAATCTTGGATAGTAATAGTGACACACACGTTATTGTTTGTTATCTGCGCATATCTTTCTAGTTGAATCGTTCTTCACAATACAACGTTTAGAAATCAAGCTAGCTATTTAAAATTGTGCTAATGAACACATAACCTGCCCAATCCTATACCCAGAAACTATCGCCGCTGCAAAGCGACTTGTGGGCAGTTTTACCAGACGTTAGCAGTCACGAACCTTTGTGCAATTATGCTAGGGCATCTTCAGCGGCACGATGATTCAACGTTGTTAGGGAAAGGCCTGTCGGATAGAGACGTATAGTCTACGTCCGAAATTTCCCAAGCCTACAGAATTAAAACTCCCTGTCTCTAAAGAGGCAAATGGATACAAACAAACGTCTGCTAAAATTAATAGCAGGAACACGGGCAGGAATAATAGAAATTTGGAGAAAACGATGTGAAAAAAACTTCGCCGAGAACAGGATCAAACCCGAAACGAAGTTGGCCTCCGTAATAATAACAATAACAATAATAACAATAATTTACTGCAGCGCTACTAGCGGTATGATAACGTTTTACTCTCACAATGCTCAGCAATGTTGTGTACGAGTAGCATATAGCGATATAATAATACTCTTCTCATTTATACGTAGCACCTCTGTTGAACCTCTTGCGTAAACCACCATACGCGTTCATTCCCTAATTGTATGTGTTAGATGATGCTAATTGTTGTTGATCTAAAAGCTGAAAACCTAAGTAATTTCGCCTAATATATATCGGTTTCGAAAACCATCTAACTATACAATCTTATAATGATCTATAATTTAATAATTTTGGTAATCATTCTACACTGCATTTCGCCAGTGTTCGTCGAAAGCAAAATTTGCCCCAGATGTACCTATAAAAATTATACTGCTTTGTATCGGCGTTCATGAAAACACAGCTATACTTTATGGAAAACGCAACTTTTATTTGGAATTGATTGTCCAAGTAGTAATGCTTCTACAGGGGAATATTACATTTAAAAGAAACGTGTAAACGTTTGCCAACTATACATCGGAAAGGGGCACAAGTAGGCCCACACTTTTATACAAAATAGGCTCACAGAGTAGACCTTCAACTATGCCATATGAAAATCCCTTTATATATATATTAAATCTGTCCAGGATATGTAAATAAGCATTAAAAAGGTATGCCTGTATTGTTTATATGCGTGGCGTCATGTCGCTATTAGCTATCATTAATTCATTGACTTTTAGATCCTTGACGAATTTGCGGGTCTGATCGAGTCACATGAGGTCTAGTTAGGCTTTTTAGAGCAGTTCTCCTTTGTTGCTATAATTACGTTTGCTGTAACTGTCTCAATCGAGTAATCGACTAGAAATGAATGAGCTGACGAGGCTTCATAGGGTAGCCTCCCTGACAAACAGGCCTCACTTCAATGAAGCTTTGTTAAGAGGTGAAAAACAGAATCTTTGTGTTTGTGTAAAGTATTGGACGAGCGACAAGTAAGAGTGCATTAACATATACACAGGCGTTGCTACGAGTGAATTAGGACAATGTGTGAACAGGTGTTACAGAAACATTTATCAGAGGAGCTCGTTAATATTGTTTCGCCGTCATCTTTTAACACATCCAATTGTAACAATAATTAATATTTTGAAATGTTTTTCTACACGTAAGTACCAAGAATCTCTATTTCTGCTCGAAGTTTATTTTTCCAATAGCGTAAGTTTGTATTTGTCCCTTGTGATTTAGGCATTTTTTTTGAGCACGCCAAAATCTGTTTACTTTCAGCCTATAATCCACGCCCGACCTGACCGCTTTTATCATACCTTTTGGAAAAATCGACCCATCTTCTTAGTCGAAAATGCAAATTCTGCTGGATAGTTAGACTATTGCTACCCAAATGCGTACTGTTTCGGTAATCGAACTGAATAACTAGCGGACGGCCGTTTTTTATTTCTAAATTCAACTTCTCAAAAATAGATTTTTCACACATGTACGTATCATGCAGCACTGCCGCCGGAACTGCTTGAAAAGATTACATTTATTCGTTCCATAAAACTGAAATATACACAAATTTCAGAGGGAAAAGGCATGTTTGCAAATGTGTGCATTTATTGCTGTCTAAGGGATACACTGCCTAAGGGAAGAGTTATGAACCTGAAGGCAAAGGGTTTCTTCACGTCTTACACTACATGTAGGGGAATTGCGCCGGAAACTGTTATGGTGTGAATATTGCAGGCCTAGTTCTGCCTACATGCCTTTTCCATGCATCTAGGCATAGTGCTAATAGTAGTAGTAGTAACTAAACGAATGGAACATGAATGGCTTTTTAGGCCTACTTCGTGTGGCCGTTAGTTCTTATGAAATAGACCTATGCATCACATCATAAATGAGCAGTAACGATTAAACTCTACAGCTAGCCGAGTTTCAATGCGAGCTGGTAGAATCGAAGTGTGCCTCATTAATGGTAACGCAGATAGTTGAAAATCATTACTTACTAATTTAGTTTCTTTTTTTTTTACAGTTTTTTCATACTATTTGTACTAAATTCTAAGGTTATACACGATGAACTGATTTATGGGCTAAGGCCCATAAGAATGCAAATATACATGCGAGATTTCAAATATTGCACTATCTAAATAAACGTTGCTTTTGGGTGAGAAAGCAATGGAGTGCAGGTTTATTCTTTAGTATACATACTTTTTTTTTTCATTGCCAGAATAAATATATATGTATCGGAAATAGTAATACAAAGCAAGACAAATTGTGGCGTACAGAAAGTGCGCGTTGTGGCCGCCAATCAACATTGTGTAATTAAAAAAGCCTTATATCAATTTTTTCAAGGCTTATATCAAGCTTATATCAAGGCTTTTTATAAAGGATAATTGCTTGCTATTTTCTAGTAAGTAAGAACCTGCGCTCTGATTTGTTACTTACAAATCATAGTAGATAAGTACTCTATTGTATCTCTAAGAGCCCGAAGCACACACTCTAGTAGAAAATGATACAATGACTCAGTTTTTCTATCAACTCTTTCCATTTGAAAGTTTTCTGACAGCTCAAGACTCTTTTGAGATAAGTTTTATTTAACTACATTTTGCTCACCTTAATAGATGGCTTTAGTTAATTGTAAGTAACGTTTTTAAAAGGTCCATATATATTATGTAACAGAGCCATTTACGTGGCACAAACCAAACAGGACTAATGACCTCAGTTTGCCTGAACGAGGCCAGTAGCTCGTTAAACAATATGTGTGTTCGTTGTACAGCGTAGTACTTCCTCGACCGCTGACAGCATACGATAGAACCACTCTTTTCATGAGGTCTCGCAGGTCTTCCTCGAGCTCGTTGTGTATTAAAAGATATTCATTTAATCTATCATAGATCGAGTCTACGTCTGGAAAAACAAAAAACTATTGAAAAGCAGTGCATCGTCAGGCTGACGTCAACTCGGAAGTGTTCGGTCGATTTCTTTGTCCTATTCGCGTAACTCGCTCTGGTTTTAGACAAAAACGTACTTGCATTAGAGAAACATTAGAAAACTCTTCCGTTCATAACATATCGTACATTTTCACCGGCAAGATAAATGTCGAATCATCATAGGGCGCTATTTATGGACGTCTTTAGCCTGTTAAGTGATCGGAGGCTCTGGTGTTGATAGTAAATATGACGATGAAGGTAAGGTAAATAGTATAGAGCAACACGTGTTACATACAGATAAACCAAAAGAGCGGTATCGAAAGATACGCTCTAATTGGAGTAATCTTACATGAGCTCTGGCGTCGATGCATTGTATACTTTGTCTATCAGCTCAAACTGCATTTAGAGTTCGAACGACACATAGCAGGCTACCGGTGTTTGTCTGCATTTTTTTTCTGCCAGACTAACAATTATTACTACTACTGCTGCTGCTGCTGCTGCTGGCTGTTGTTACTCGAAAGCCCACGAAACTCTCGGTGACAATGTTGTCATCGAAACATAAAAAGCATCACAGGTCAAGCCAGCACAGAGGGTTCCAGGCACTTCGATGAGCGCCTTGAAAGGAGTAAATGCTGTAGTAGCATGTTATTACGGTTCTACTGTTATAATAAAGTAGCCTGGAAATCCAAAGCGTTCGTCAGATAGAACAATGCTCGCTCTCAGTAAAAACTACTGAAAACTACAGTGAAACTACTGAACCGTATGGTCAGCTCTCATAAGTCGTATCCATTACAAATTGACTCAAATAAGGCCATCATAAAATAAGGACCACTGCTTAGAAGCATGCTTATGTGATGTTAGTTATTGTTCACTCAGGTTGACTTTGCTGTAACTAAGTTTAATAAACCACAGATTTTATGGACAGTAACTTGCTTGCAAAATTCGAGTTAGTTGTTTGCTTGTTAATGCTATCTATTATTCGGGCCACGTGTTGTGGCTTACCAGCTAATAAAGCACTGCATATAGTTACGACTATTAGCAGCACAATTAAGCATGTTTCGGGGAAATTTGTCTCTTTATTTAATAAAGTTAGGGTAAAACAAAAACATTCTTCAGCTAGAACATAACAACATTTCCCACGGATATCTTCATTCAGTTTATAAGTTTAAATTATTTATGATACCATAATACGGCACGTACATCTAGATACAATGTGAACGCAAATCGGATAATATTGCATTTTTTTTTATATACAGTAATTTCTCTGATTGTAAAGTTACGCGCTCGTCCCAGCTCTATACTAGTCTCTCTCTCTCTCTCTCTCTCTCTATACTAAGAGATGTTGTCAAGTAGAAATTGTGTAAATCCTACTCTGCCTTGTTGCAATACGCCTAACAAATCAGCGGCCACTACGCGTCACGATCATAAACTGTATAAACGAATCAAGCAAATTGAGTTAATAGCATGTTGAAAGCTTTGTCATGACTCATTTACATAAGCAGGCCAGGCCTGGTCGCCAAGGGCCCGACAATATTTTCGTGCCCATCGAACGCCACGCGTAGAATACCAGACGCCGTTAGGGTTAGCTATGCGCTCAAAGCTGATAACAAGATCAGTGGTGACATTTTTGGCTGTTGAGGCTTTAATAACCAAAGCAAGTAAAATAACTGCAATGTCAATTAAAGATAAACAAATTAATGTGTGTTTTCGTACCACAGGGCTGTCTATCGTTGTTTTGTAATAGCTTCGTGCTGATGCGTGACGAGATTGTAGCGAGCATACAGGCTCGATATGCGGATAGCTTGCGGTGACACTTTTTAGTTAGAATCTAAAACTTGTTTTTTGCGCAATGCCGAACGCCAGAAGTTAACGAGAGTTTAGAGCTACAACAGATCGAAATATATCAATGCACTGAATTTGGCCAAGGGAACTAGCTCCGCGCAACACGGATGGAAACTTCAACAAAAGCATCTGTTCATCGACGGAACTCTTCTACTGCACCGTTGTTTTTTCATCATTTTAATTAAGTCTTACATAATATCGCACTCCGAACGGTTAGCACAGTCTCTGCTCTACGTTTCATATAAACATGTAAAAATTTCTAAAATTCTGACTTGTTTAGTGCTCACTGCCAAAGTTATACGCACAATATTCAACCCTCCTTTGCCCTTATCATGTAAACTGAAATTATGTAAAATTTAGAATTGATTAAAACTCGGTCGACGGTGAATGAACGCAGGATAACGCTTCTAGTATAACTAAACGATTTAATTTAACTATCTGCTTTGTTTAGATATGGTCTTACAAACAGCTCTGCCTGGATTTAGACGTTCCGCCATGCATATATATATATATATATATATATATATATATATATATATATATATATAGGTGATATGCCTGACTAAAATGCTCCCGAAGCCCCGTTCAAAATATCGGGACACGCTGTGGTTTAGGTTTGAATCTGGGCGTAGACGTTTTGTGTGCAAGACTGCGATGCAGGAGTTAAACCTCAAAACACATAGGCCCTTCGAAGAGTCTCAAGAATAGACATGTGCACTACTCTTACTGGTTTTTTCAGCGTCGTGCTAGTTTCTGATAAATTGTTTTCGCTAATCGGACTATACGGTCCGATTTTGGAAATTTATTTGTCTATCTATTCGAAATGCACATAAGATACCAACCAGATGCTTCTCGGTAAGCACTAGCGAGAAAAGCCATCATTTGTTTAAAACCACAACGAGTAGAGAACAGAGTGAGTTGACCACAATGCGACGACTAGCAGACCTACCTTTATCATTGTACAACATATACTCACCGAAGACATCACTGGTTCCAAAGCATCAATGAACACCTTTTATCAATATCAATGAGCATTTTTGTAGCACTGAATATTTTGTAGTGCTACAGCTTTGAACCGGAAAGACAAATGATTGTCTCTGATGATCACACGGAAACAGTTGATCTTTTGTTACCTACGAGGATTTTACTACCAAGTATAGGTTGCTGTTGGTCCAATCGAAGCAATCTGTTCCGTATATCGACAAACAACGTACGTTAATCGGGTTGTGTCTCGAATACACTGTTGGCAAGTGAAAGTTATTATTTTACTTATTTAAAATTGGTCCAGGCATAGCCATATACAAAATGCTGTATACATTTGCAAACGGACGTCGTAGAGTTTCCGCCAAAAACTAATCGCCCCCCAAATTTTATTTCACCGTATGGATAAATTACCACAAAAACTGTTAGTGTTTATTTGCAAAAATGATACCGGTATGTATGTATTTATTTCTTATATAGCCCAATTTCGTAATCCTACACGATATATAGGACTTATGTTCAGTACAAGCCTTGCTTTGAACGAATGAATCAATCCTTCCTGTATTCTAGGCATTTGAACAGCAATGCCATATACTCGCGTGGTGAGTGTCGCATAACAAACTTTGTTGCTTCTTCAGCTCAGAATGTTTGCAAACATCGAAAATCAGTAAAACGGAAGACGTTCTACGAGGCACGAGTGATGCTGATGCATGTTCAGCCGGTCGCTCATGTATGTCATCAGAGCGCACCTTTACCCACTCGTAAACCCCACACATACGTAACAGAGACAGATTTATGGTTGAGACGACAATTCCATTCGTTGTTATATGTCCATTGTTGTCAAACTTTTCGGTCAGCATTAACGTGGGTGCCGGCAGTATGGTGAATGACTGCTAAACGGGCGGCAAAAGCTAGTAGTACCATTTCCGAACGTCATCAAAGACTCAGTTGATAATCGGGGCAATCGTAATGATACAACTTATTGCGTTAATTGTTGTAAATTATAGAATAAAGTTTTACGATCTAGGCTGCAAGGTCGAATGGCTAGCTACATTAGTGATCAGCTCCTATGTCGACTGGTCCAGTTCGAGCGATTGAAGTAGGTCAAAGCGTTTCGTTCCGTTTCTATATCCCAATTTAGGTTCCATTTCCAATGTAGCCATTGCTAACTCGTACCAGCGATATATTTTCTGTATCGTTGCTCGTATATATAGCGTAAGTGTACGAAGCGTATGGTCGGTCATACGTGAGGTCAGCTGCTCGCTTCAACGTTACAGCAAGGGACGTATGGCAAGCAGGCCTTTGAAAGTCAATGAGTTAACATGGCTACATAGATGGTTTGTTTGCCAATCTTCCTCCAATTTATTTTTTAGACATTCATATATCCCGCTGAATTTTATAAAAATGAAAAAGCGTTTGGTGAGTTTATATGCCAACAATTCTAGAAGCGCAAGAGAGTGTTTAAAATATCTTATGGCGTACTCTAGCGTACTCGAATGCGGGTTGCGAGTGAGCTACCCATAGCAATCAACAATTAGCGTTGACCAAACTGGTCAGTGTGAATGTCGTGGGCGTAATAGCTTGGGTGGCTATATGTATATCACTGAAATAAGCAGGAACTGGCTGGTTTAAGCTTCACTATATCGTATTAACTATAGATTGTTTGCAAAATAAACCTGATATAACAAAATTTCTTGTCATATTTTAGGAAAGTTGTAAAACCAAACGTGACGTGTCTCGGCCTCCCGTACAAAATAACCGTGTAGTCATATGAATCAAAGTACAGATTGTTTCAACTTGGTACATAATTACTGTCTCAGATATTCGTCTTATTTTTTTTTTTTCCTTATGTTTGTGCCAATATTGAGGCTCAAATATATGGGTTACGGTTTACAAGCTTCTGATCGTATTCTGTGCTTTTCTCGACGAAGCGATTAAAGTAGGATTGTCACATTAAGGCCTAAAAAAAACCTTGATGGAAAAGGATTTGAAGTCGGACAGATCGTCGATCATTTAACATTACTACGTGGACACGCAGAATGAATTGCAGGGTCAGACTGACAAGTGTTACACGAACAAATAGAAAGATCCATAAAGTTTCACAAACAAGCAATGTCCATTCTAAGCAAGCTTACCTCGTAGTACAACATATAAGATGACAGACAACCGTCACAACTCGTAGACAATATGGCACCAACATAGGTCTAAAAAAAATATTTACTTAGTACGATTGCGCACTTCGGGTGAAATAGCTATAAACAAACTCTGTTACAGCTATCGCTGAACGTCCCTCGAATGATGACTATGACTCACTTTGACCTATGAATATGTTCGTGAATAAGTTTACATGCCTAGAGTATAGCATTATTCCTGTCTCTCTAATTCCTGCTATGGCTGTCTAACTTCATTTGAATACATCCGATGGTCCTGAGCGCATCGGAGGATAGGCAAGTGCCTTTAGATTTACTATTCAAATAGTGCAGCGAGATAATGACTAGACCGGGCTCTGCGTTTTTACTGGGTTATTGTTTGCGGTTAAGCGGATACCCTCTCCTTTCGGCGAGGGAACTGATGCCGGCATTAAAAGAAATACTGTACATTTGTCGGTTCGGTCGCCATTGTCAGGCTAGCGATTGATGAAAAAATCGACGTTATTAATGGTGCAGTGGGGCGTGGTGTTGTCGTATAACGAAGTGGCAGAACTACCTGGACTAGACGTTGTTGAAGAAATAGTGTATTACTATAGCAAACAAACGTTTTAGCAATTTAACAAAGCAACGAAAAGCTGCTCGATAACACACAGAGGATGGCCTTGCAAGGACACTCAACGGAGCAGTTTCGTGCCACGAGAACGTGGAACACGATTGTGTTGGCGGTACAGAGTGAGCTACCTGTTCGACAGTATCGTAAAGGGTTCCGCATGTTTACGAACTGTTTTGCTGGAAAGGACGCTGTGACATGGACGCTGGATTACCTTGAGCGGAATCAAGACACACTGTTCGATCCAAAAAGCAAGGAGATCACTCGTGAAAAGGTGACGCTCCTGTTACAAAAGTTCGTTGAACAGAAAATTATCGAAGATGTCCGTGGACGTGGACATGCATTTAAAGATTCAACTCAGCATTTCTACACATTCACTAAGGACCATACCCTCATGCCAGTCACGTGCCGATATGCTAGTATAAAGGACACAAACCGAACTTCGACAAGGACCCGAAGTAGCAGTTTAGGTCACGTGAGTAGTAATAAAAAAAGTCGAGTTGTACTCACAATTCGAGCGACCTTCAAGCTTAGCAACAGCATTGCGCAATCTGCGCTCTTTCCTTCGCGGTTCTACCCTTCTTTCAAGAGATTTAGGCCACTATCTACAACCGATCTGGTTTTGCCGTAGTCTATGGTCTACATTTCTTTTCGACTATGGATAATACGTACCTGTGAAACGAAATAAATTTTTCTGCATTTTATTGTTTACAGATTACACCTCCAACGCTTAGGTGCGCAACGAGCATGGTGAAGCTGGCTTTGGTCGGCCTCTCAGCCCAGCGGAAACGTCGAAGTTCACACGTATAGACTTCGGCCGAACTAGATAAAGTTTATAACTAGAACTAACACGTTTAGAAGACTTGGTTGGCAAGGTAAGCCCAGAAATCTTGGGCCCGAACTAGCCAGCGATCGTCGGAAGAAGAGCAATTTATAAAAAAAACAACGATTTACTATATACATATTTTTCTGATACCATTGCAAGCTTCTTTGCCACGCGAGCTTCTTGAATAGCATGAGCGATATGGAAGCTCCACGAGAGAAGCGAGTGAAAAAGCTTTAAAAGAGGTTTCTTAATTGTCTTAAAGCGATATGTAACTTTTTAGACTGTGATATGGGAAAACCGAATTTCCTCTTGCATCTTAATCGTTTTAAGATCTTCAAGAGGACACCAAGTCTAAAATCATGTGACTTGAGTTAAAGTAAACTAAGATAAACCACTGCCAGCACGAATGCGAACATATTCAGGTGCCAAATCTAACACTGTATAATATGTAAATATCTGTATACAATAAACATGATCTTATCACAAACCTGTTTTTTTAGTGCCTCACGATTTTGAATTTCCACGGTTTGAATACATTTCTGTTACGTATAAATTAAGGAAAATCCGATAGTGGAAGTTCTTCGCCTTTGGTAGATTCGTTCTTGACGAAACACGTGTGGTCTCCGCTAGGTAGTAGATCACAAAATCTACAGACAATATCTAAACTTGAAGGCCATAAGGCATTTTTAACATTAGCTGATATCTCAGGTAGAACGTTGCAGTCCTGCTTACTAATAGGTACGTTTCATGCCTCTGCTGTCGCGCTCCAACAATGGACCAAACGACGACATTTATCATGACAAGTTAACAAATTTCCTAATTGGCAAACTGACTGGCTAGAATACTTGCTGAGCGATTATAAAGCAGAGCGAAATATTTCATAATAGTAAAAAAAAAAATGGGTCTAACATTAGCGATGCATCATAAATTAGACTTTGGCTGATCTCCACACAACCCTATAATGTTCCATCAATGATACGGCACTGAACTGCAGATTAGAATACCGTGGGGTGTTTGTTTTTTGGTACCTTATCATAACTTTGTTTATTTACGGGCATTCAGCCATGTTTCAAGCCGCTTTGAATGTTTTCAGCCAGTAACGATTTTAGGATCGTCAAAAATATAACTTGTGCCCAAAGATAACATTTTGGTATTGTATAGGGCTGAGAATATATGTAGTACTCATTATTGCTATAAACTATAGTATTATTATAGTTAGTAGTATTAGATAATATACGAAATTTATTAGTTTACGATATGAATACTAATCAGTAGTCCGAAATCTATTAAATATCTTAATATAGGCTTTTCTAATAGACAGGGGAATCGTATTTTTTACAACATCAACAAGCTGCGTTGTGTGTAGCATGTTTTTTTGACAAAAAAAACATTGACATCGTGACCGTGTTGTCATTGGTAGATGTCAAGGCTCGGGCTAGCTTGTTTTTAGAGAAAAGTCTATATTAAGATATTTAATTGATTTCAGGCTACTGATTAGCGCAGCAAGTGTTTATATAGAAAACTAATTAATTTAGTAATAACAACTTTTTCGACTCAGTAGGTCTGCAGATGAGTTCCGCATAATTGACGCAAACGTACAACTGTACGAAGCAACACTATATCGATATCATATACGAAATCAACAGATCCGTTTTCTCATTATGTATTTGAGCTAGGCTGAACGCTGTAACACTTTCTAAGCAAGCCGAAAATGACAGAATATCCATAACTGAGTTAACGAGTAGAGACACAGTGCGCTCTAGCTTCGAATCCGGGCATCGACACACTTTGCTGCGTGCCATCCGTCTGACGAAATGCCCAACAGCGATGTCAAACATCAAATTGAAACGTCGTCTGGAACCCATCAGAATTTTACAATCTTCGAGCAACGTTTTCGGTTGCTAGCAAAATTATGAAGCATCCCAAAAGATCTACTGCGTCAATGCTGGTAAGATCTTGAACAATAAACGATTAGCCGTATACTAAAAGCACTGACTCCTTCACAATTTTGAGATGTCTGTTGGATTTATACGTAGTAGTTAGGTGTGAAATAAAGAAGACAGACTGAATCCTTACGTTCAAAACTGGCTAGTTTTAACTAATCTTCTACATGAATACTTCTCTCGTCTTGTGGTTCGCTAAGTTCACCTCTAATCATCGTCGTAATGTCTAACCTACTCTCCTGATGTATTAATAATGTAAAATACAGTACAAAAAAGGTTCAAGGGGATAGGGTTTAATCTCACTGAAATATGAGTTTATCTTTAGGAAAAATAAATGTCAATCATGAAAAAGTACGCTAACCGTTGGAGCAATACCTGCGCTCATTATCCGAGAAAATCTACTTTTATTATAAATCACAAACTAAGATATTACGCAACTCTTAGCTTATTTTGACCATACCCTCCGCAAATGGGTATATGTTTCATGTACAATAGGAGTCTAATAAACAACTGTCTGTATTCTGAAGAGTAGAAGTAAGGACAGAGAGATGACGTTCTGGATTTAGCTTTTGCAGATTTTCGATGGCCGCTTCCAATAGGTGTAATTAACATTCATACATCGCTACGTTTACAGTAACAGGTAACACATACGTTGTAATATTATATGTATAATTCTCCCCAACGTTTCGAGTTTTACGTCCGGTATTTCCGTTACCTATTCCATTGGACTGCTAGCTCCCAGCACGAAACGAAGTCTATGGCCTGGTTTGAAGCCAGACCGTAACGTGTCCCTAAGGTTCGCAGGCAAATACGTTACCCACTAAGCTATCACGGACACGTGCATAATTATCTTAGATGTGGCAAACTAATACCAAAAATTTAGCATACTCCGCTACGTTCGAGTGGTCACGTTGCGTCGTCTGCTAGAAGACTGCATCGGGCTACATACGTCTGTCGCATAAACGTCTGTATTTGTATGTCTAAAAAGCTATTTACTTCCAGGATGGGTGGATATTAATAGCGACTTTTTTTGAAAATCGCTGGTGGCAGGAATGCTCTATGCACACCTTTTACAATCTACGCAGTGCGGGGCTCCAGAACCGCGGCCCGAAGCCTAACATCCCCGATGCACCGATGAAGTATATGTATGTGCGTCGCGTTTCCTAGCAAGAAACGCAGACGACTCGAAAACTCAAAGTATGCTCTGCATCAGCATCTGCTTCTGCCGAGAGAAATTGAAAGAAGGCTAGGCGGAGAGAAATATGGCGGCTTTCAACCGATATTAGGGCGAAGTGCTGACCGGATGCCCCGACAATCGAAGGTCGAGTTCAGCCGGCAGCTAGGCAAACTTCCAGTCATCGATGCAGGCCGTTGGCAGTCGGACTAGGCACGCCTGTTTGAGCGAGTTATTCGGGAAAATGGACACTGGCGATTAGAAGAAAGAGTTAACGGTTTGTTATGAATCTATGATAAGCCAGGATGACTGGGAGTATCTAGTTCCATAAAAAAGCCTAAAGTCGCGCAATTTATGAAATAAGGAAGACGCATTTGGAAGAGGTAAACACGGTATCAAGAGCAACGGTACAACTCTGGGAAGGTACTTTCTGGACGAGAACCTTTTAAGAGAACAGTGATGGAACGAGTTTGCAGTTTCGAAAACAAAGGAAGCCTCCAATACTATGCGTTTATTAAATATGTGCTTAATTTTAGACATAAAGTTGTTAAGTGAGTGATCAGATGAGAGCCTAATATAAAACGGTCCTTCTACACTTTCGTACTCTATATGACGGCGACCAATGCAGGATCTAGAAATTCTTTCTATCCACGATCTAGAAATCAGTGAGGTGAAACGTTATGTAACCTGCAATAATCTAATTATATTGAGAATACAAGCTATATTCTTTCATAACAATCTTATTATTATGTTCGCCAGTAAAATTCAGATAGCGCTAAGCGTTAATAGTACTCAAATCTATTGTTATTAAACTATTTGTTCTCGTTATTCGGGTCGGACGAAGTCGATCAAGTTCAACTTGCGGCAATACAAACACCATTCCAAAAGTTTTAGGCAGATCGCAAAATCTAGAAATGCAGACGTGGAGTCAAATATTGAGGATCTGTAAGGGAAGTTTTTGATGAGGAAGTTATCAATATTATTATCAACTATAGACGATTCTTTTAGATAAGATTGAACACTTCAACGCTATTCTAGCTTCTTAATCCTTTATTTGCGGTCGTCTCCGTTTTATGCCAATGTAATGTTAGCTTGAAACTTTTAGCAATTTCTAGCCACAGTAAATCAATGCGAAAATCGCAACACGCGATAGAGCCAAACCTGCAGAAATCTGTTGGCGTTCAAAGGTATCGAGTTTTAGCTGACAGAAAAATAATTGTTGACGCCTTTTTAGATAAATTTTCGATAAATGCACGCGCTGTTTAGGACCGTATTGGTTGTGGATGTTGATGGGAGTCCGCCACTCTTTAAGGTACTTTGATTTTCAGGTATAATTTATTTTAGGTCGTCACCATATTGGCAGTTAGTGCATGATTATTTCGTTCATTCAACCTACATAGCTACACGGATTGTATGGATTCATACAGTGTTGTAGAGTTTCACCAGCTACCTGTACAATGATTTCAATCATTGTTCTGTGCTATTCTGTTCAGAAGAACACGACTGCTGGTGCGAGGTGCAATAATATTATTATTAGTCTCACTCAAACCTCTACAAATGCTACGGTCCCCCCCAGCCACTACTCCTGCAGCAAACGACAATATCTAAATTGTTTCTTTCTAAAAAATTCTCTCTAAATAAAAAATTTAGGGCTGTAAACGTTGAAACGAACATAAGCCAATTTTCTAACAAGCATCTGCGAATTCGCCAAGCCGCTTGCTCTTCTGAGCTATGTGCTGTACTTCAGCACAACATTGTCGGGACACAGAACTTCACTGGCCGTTCCTTAGATACACGCAGAACGTTTTCGGATGCCTTCGTCATAACGACTATCTATATACGTTCAACGGAATGTCTCGGAACTATGCTACCGTACAATCGTTCCATTCTGGTTTTGTCTCAAAACTAGTACATGTGAAAGACAGACGTCTTACCGAGTTGTTAACGAGGTAAGGTACGCGCCTTTCTTCGCTAACGTCGATCCTGTTAAAACTATTTTATAACATTGAAAAAACGACGACTTAATAACACATCAATGAACACCAACTCGCAGCTGTTGGGTTGGCCTTTACCGAGGCAGAAGTCGCTCTGTTTACACCCAGTTAGCGGTACTGGGTGCGCCCGCAGACCGCCTCTGGTTTTTGTGTTTTATGCCTCAGCGAAACGATGGAATACGTTGTTTTGAAAATATCCGTGAACCGCAGATATCAGTGGAATCGGATCAATTAGCGTGAACACACACTTCACAGTCCTGCCCTAGAAGCGAGCTAATTACAAGGTTTACACTAGGACATATAGCTGACCTATTTACGGTGTCCGATGTTACCTCA